TCCTCTAACTTGGGTGACTAATTCTTGATGAGTCTGAAGTGATTGCCCAAAGGTGTGCCAACTGGCATGACCTTGTCCATGTTGAACCTATTGAGTACTTTTTCATATACTCAACCTGTGAGAATCTTAACGCGCCTCTAACTCTGTCTCAGACAATGCTCATGTTAAGGATTTGCTTTGCAGCTCCCAAATCTTTCATTGGAAAGTAACCTGACATCTGCTTCTTCAAATTATTGATCTCATCAATACTGACCCCTACAACAAGCATATCATCCACGTACACAATAGTAGAATAATATAAGAATTGTCCAAATTTCTGACATAGTATCAATGATCTTTCTGACATTTGTTTTGCCCTGCATTGTGCATGAAATTATTAAATTTCTTGTACCACTGTCTAGGAGCTTGCTTTGGGTCATACAAACTCTTCTTCAGTCTGCAAAATGAACATTCCTTTCACTGTACTACAAATCCCTCAGGCTAGTGCATGTAGAGGTCTTTTTCAAGGTAACCATGAAGAAAAGCTGTCTTCACATCAAACTGCTCAAGAAATAGATCTTCGATAGTCACCATAAACAATATCATTCTGATGGTTGTGATAATAAACATAGAAGAAAATATCTCAGAGTAATCAACACCTTATCATTGTACCTCTTACTATCATCATGCTCAATTTTCATCTGATACACCCACTTGTTGTGTAATGCTTTCTTCCCTGGTGGAAGTTCTGTCAACTTTCATATTTGATTTTCTAGTAGGGAATCCATCTCTTCTTTCATGGTCAACTCCCACTTGCTAGAATTTCATATTGCAGGGTTTATTCATAACTTTGTGGTTATCAACCATCTGCCAACAGAATGTAGTTCAAGGTTGGTGAGAAATGCTGTGGAGAACATCTAGTTCTAACTGACCTATGAATAGTAGTTGTAGGGGTGGATGGCTCTGAATCTGACTGTAAAATAATAGGAATGGGTGCACTAGACCCACTCTGCACACCACTTACATCTCTGCTCTGCATTGTGACCTTAGATAGATCATCAAACCTTACCAACTCAGATTCCCGATGAGCTACTTCAGAAGTTGTACTAGCATTGTCTTTGTACATAATATTCTCATTAAAAATCACATTTCTGCTTTTTATGATCTTCCAACCCTGATCATCTCAGAAAAGATAGACAAATGCCTCGTCTCTATAGCCGATGAAATAACATTTCTTTGACTTAGCCTCAAGTTTTTTACGAGCATCAGAATTAATAAGAACATAAGAAAGGCAACCAAAAGTTTTAAGAAGAGAAAATTTGCCCTCTTTGTCACTCCATGCCTCCTCAACCAATTCACAATTTAATGTGACAGATGACCCCTGCTGATCAAGTAAACTGCAGTGTTGACCGCATCTGCCCAGAAAATTGGTGGTAGTCCAACATGCAATCTCATGTTTCTAGCACACTCATTTATGGTCATGTTCATACGTTTTGCAACACCACTTTGTTGTGGTGTCCCAAGAATGGTCTTTTTTTTATTTTAATATCGTGAGTTGCATAGTACTCCTTGAACCCACCATCAATGTGCTGACCACCATTGTCAGACCTTAAACATTTCAGTTTTAAATTTGTCTGTCTCAATCATGACCTTCCAAATTTTGAACACATTAAATACATCAGATTTATGGTTCAAGAAATAAACACATACCTTTTTATTGTCATTATCCATGAATGTGACATAATAACCAGTCTCCTAGATATGTTACTGGAGAAGGTCTTCACAAATATGTGTGTATAAGTTCCAGTTTTCCTGCCTTTGGCACTCTGCCACATATCAAGAAATTAACATTCTTCTGTTTCCCCATAATGCAACTCTCACATATGCTGAGATCGATTGACTTCAGTTCTTGTAGCTTGTCTTTGGACTGAAGTTCTTTCATATCCCTTTGACTCGTGTGGCGAAGTCTGCAATGCCACAAATCTGTTGTGCTCTCTATAATGGTGGTATCATCACTTTTAATTAAACATGTAGTAATATATAGTGTACCAATTTTCTTACCCCGAGATAATACCAATGCCCCTTTTGTGACTTTTCAGGTGATATCTAAGAACACTATTAAATGACCACACTCATCGAGTTGCCCAATAGAAATGAGGTTTTTCTTTAACTCAGGAATGTGTCTTACCTTTAGCAAAGTGCATTTGTTTTTGTTAGGGAGTGCAATGTCAACCTCTTAATCCCCACCACGTTCAAAGCTTCTTCATCAGCCAGATACACCTTGCCAAAGGCACCTGCAACATAATTTCACATTAACTCCGGTTGGAAAGATGTATAGAAGAAAGCCCCTCAATCCAGTATTCAGTAATGAACTACAAGCAATAGTGCATTATGTAATTCTTCAGTTACAACATTAGCGTTATCATTCTCTTTCTTCTTAGGATTTTTGCAGTTCTTTTTTATGTGGTCAACTTTACCATAATTCCAGCAAGTTGTTTGCTGACCAGGCATTGACTTGCTCTTGCATCTATGTTTTAATTTTGATATTCCTCTACTTGAGTTTTTTGTCTACTAATATCCCTCAAGACCCAACGTTCAATGTTAAACTCAAACCCAAGATCTCGCTAGAATTTTTCCTACGCACCTCCTCAGCCAAAATAAAATAATAAATATCATTATATTTTAGCTTAGATTTACTAGTAGAATTGCTAACAACCATCCTCATGACTTTCCAGCTATTTGACAAAGAAGCCAACAATATCAGCACTTCTCATCATCAAATTCAATTTTAACAGACGATAAGACGATAATTGATTTGTGAATAATTGATTTGTGATAGTATTAAAATCATGCAGATGTTATGCAACAAACGTACATTCCATCATCTATAAGTTGAATAACTTTTTCATCAAATCTATCATGTTATTTGCTGACGGCTTTTCATACATACTTGACAGAGCTGTCATGAGATCTGCAATTGTCATTTTCTTGATGTTTGTGTGCAAAAGATCTCAACAGAGTTAATCGAATAACTCCCAGAACTTATCTATCCAACAGATTTCATTCAGCATCATTCATCTTTTTCGGTCTCTTTCCCAATAAAGGAATATGAAGTTTCTTCTCATAAAAATAGTCTTCTATCTGCATCCTCCAGTAACAAAAATGGGTGTCATCAAACTTCTCGATCCTTGGTATTGCCACTTCATCTCCAGCCATCGTTTTCCTCATATATGAACCACAGCTCTGATATCAATTGTTGTGAAAACAATTGACAATAAAGCGAAAAATATAAATGAGAATCACACAAACATACAAATTTACATGGTTCGGTAAATTGTCCACGTCTCCGGAACTGCAAAAAATTTTATTGCTTGAGGTATCACACAGTCGATCACTTCGATTACAATAGCTCGCCATGATTTCCCCTCTCTCCTCCTTCCTTTCGCTTCGCCATCCGCAAACTTTCAGAACCGGAAAAAAAAAAAAAAACCCCTAAAAG